CATCAGGCCGCTGCCGCGGTGCACCGGCCAGGCCAGCCGTGCCACGCCCCAGAGCACCAGGGCCAATGGCCAGAAGGTGCGCATGAGTGAGATGTCGAACAGGCGCAGGTTGTCCAGCAGGACGACCACGCCGACACCGATGACGGCAAGGCCGAACAGCACACGCTGGCCGGCGTGGCGGGTGTGGGAGCGAAGATGGCGGTGGCGGCGCATGAGCAGGGGCGGGGTGGTCGATGGCCGCAAGTAGACCGCGAAGCGCCGCTCGCGGGGTCGGCGGGTCGGTGAATCGACAGCGGTGGCCGATGAATCGACGGCCCGTGGGGCCAGCGTCGCTCGCGACGCTGCCGGCCGCGACGTCGTCACGCCGCAGTCGCGGCAGCCTCCGCGGACGTCGGCTTGCACAGGCGGCGCACGAGCGTGGCCAGCTTGCCGGGGACGAGCGGCTTGTGGGCGACGACCACGCCGGCACTGGCGGCACGCGCGGCCAGGCCGCTGTCCAGGTTGCCGGTCACGAGCAGGGCCGGCAGGTCGGGCGATGCCAGCACGTGGCGAAGCCGGTCGACTTCGTCCAGCCCGTTGGTGTTGGCCAGATGGAAGTCGGTGATGACCAGGTCGGGCAACTGCTGACGGGCTTGAAGCTGGTTGGCGAGGTCCTGGGCGTCCGTTCCGGCGCAGACGTCATGGCCCCAGCGGCGCAGCAGCGCCGCCATGGCATCGCGAACTTCGACGTCATCTTCCATCAGCGCCAACAAGCCCGGTCGGGCCGCAGCCGCACCAGGCGCCTGGGCGGGTTCCTCGGGGGTGTCGGCAGCGTCGGTCCAGGGCAGGGTGAGCGTTACCAGCGTCCCGCCGCCCGGAGGCGAGGTCATGGTCAGACCATGGCCCAGCAGTTCGGCACCGCGCCGGACGATGGACAGGCCGATGCCCAGCCCTTCAGCGGCCTTGGCCGGGTTCAGCCGTACATAGTCGCGGAAGACATCGTCGATCTTGTCAGGCGGGATGCCCGGTCCGGTGTCGCGGACGGTCAGCGTCACAAGCTCATCGCATCGCTGGGTCGTCACTTGCACGACGCCTGCATCGGTGTACTTGATCGCGTTGGAGACCAAATTGAAGACGATGCGGCGCAGCAGATGATGGTCGGACACGACATGGCCGTCCGCCGGCGCGACTTCCAGGGCGAGGCCCTTGCGCCGTGCGAGCCCGGAGAAATGCAGCGTGAGGTCCTGCATCAGCTCAGGCAGAGAGATGTTGCCGAGCAAGGGGGTGTAGTGACCGCCGTCGAGCCGGCCGAGGTCCATCAGCGAGTCCAGCATGTCTGCCAGTGACGCCGTGCTGCGGCGCACGCCTTGCAGCCAGGCGGAGAAGGTGGCGGGATCGTGATGCGCGTCGTCGCCCAGCTCCGTCTGCATGCCCAGGGCATGGGCGGGCTGGCGCAGATCGTGGCAGGCGGCGGCCAGCAGTCGGATGCGGGACGCGCTGCGCTGCTCCAGCTCCTGGTTGCGCTCGGCCAGTTCGGCCGACACCTGGGTCAGCCGCCGGCCGCGCCGGACGGCGACGGAC